GTCTCTCTCTCTCTCTCTGTCTCTCTCTTTCTCTCTCTCATCAGGTATCTATTTAAAAAATATCTAACCTAAAATATACATTGCCTTTTCGTTTGCTCTACGGTACAAACTCTTCTATAATTACCGTTTTCCTCTTATCGCATATTATGATTGGAAAGGTTATAAAATTAAATGTACGTATGTATTATTATGGAATAGGCCTTATTCATCTGAAAGTTGTGTTTCTGTTTGTTACGTCATCATTCACAATTGGTTGTTTATCAGAACAATGCGAGACCTTTCAAGGGACATTTTCGTATTCTTCTTTCAGCCATTCATTTTTTTTTCTATTGGAATTAAACAAATCAGCTTACAGGTATTTGTCTGCTAGCATAAACAGTATTGTGTTGGACCAAAAAAAATGAACTTTAAGTGTCAAGACCGCTGCATAATATCTCAGACATTGGAATATTACAATAAAAATGTTGTGCTGCGGGCTGCAATAATACGTCCAAAGAGCGTGTTGTGCGTGCATCCTTTCCTCCCAGCGAGCACGTGACTACATGGCAGAGAGCACACTGTCTGGGACTTCCGCCCCGCCCACTTCCGCTGACGCCTGCTGCTCTGGATCACTCCGTCTTCCAAAACGCATGTACTTCTGCCTCTTCTCCTTCCCAACGTCCTCCTCCTCTTCCTCCTCCACCTCCTGCCTCTTCCCAAATCGTGGCAGTGAACTCCTGTCTTCGTACACCCGGCGCACCCTCTGTGCTAGACCTTCCCCCAAACTGATGACGTCATCTCCGCCAATTTCGTCGTCCTCTGTCTCGTCTCCTTGACTCCGCCCAAATCGCATGAACTCTGGGTGACCTCTTTTGGACAAACGCGTCATCTGAGGGTTGTTGCTCCACATCGCTCGTTTGACCTCGTTGTCCAAGTTCTCGACTGACCTTTTCCTCAATGCGTCCTTGACCTCAGCCTCCTGCTGGGTCACAAAAGCGGAAGTGGCGGAGCGGCCGAACCTCATGAATCGTTTGTTGGCGTCTGTACTGCGTATTTGACGAGAGTTGGCTCGTTCCTGTGTCGTTTCTGTCGATCTGGCTGTCCTGGAGTGATGGAAGAGAGAAATAGTGAGAGAATGATAGGAGAAAACGAAAAAAGAATAAGGGAAAGAAGAGAAAGAAAGACTGTAACAAGAAGGAGGGGGGGGGGAGCATAAAAGGAAGGAAAACTGAGAGGAAGAGAGGGGGTTAAAGAAAGTACGAAAGAAAAAAATGATGGAAGAGGGAAA